CTCTTCTCCACACCCCCTCCTTGCTCTAAGCAGTCTCACGAACACTTATTGTGTAATTTCATACTTACGTTGATGATTTCTAACTTTATTTATTGAGTCCATATCTCTTGAAGCTCCATATCCATTGTTGGGAACCATGGAAGCTAGAAAATTGGTCAAATGTGTGTAAGTGGGACTAGGCCTCAGTGCCTAAAGCAGACAAGCTATCTCAGTCCTGAGATAAAGATCTTGACTGGTTAATGTCAGCTATTAGTCACTAAGTAACCTTGTGTCACATGTTACTAACTTTGAAAAGGTATAAATAAATGTCCATATTGTTGCTGGGAGGTGAGGGGTCATCTTGCCCATCAGGCAGAGTTACCACCTAATCCAGGTGTCTTCTTGTCTATCTTTTCCTCATTCCTGCTGCCTTTTTTTCCTGAATAGAACAGGTCATATTAAGACCAATGGATCTTTACAATCCATAAATCCACTTATTTTCCAATTATTCTCATTAGTCTCATACAAGGCATGTCAAATTGAAACAACTTTCCCCCACTTATCAGTAAGAATATTTTTTGCTACAAATAACAGAAAACAAGGGGCTAGGGAGATGGCTCAGTAGAATAAGCACTTCCCTGGCAAGCAAGGGCCTGAGTTCAATCCCCAGTTCTGCAAACAACAACAAAAACAAAACAAAACAAAACAAAACCCAGAAAACAACAATGACTTGAACAATAGGACATAGCTTATCTCAAGAAGTCTAGAGCTGATACAATTGGTTAACAGCTCAACAATGTCTTCATAGCCTGGTTCTTCACACTTTTTGCTGTGTCTTTGTGCTTGGGTATAGTCTTTAAGCTTGACTCTCATGTTATAAAGAGGGTCAGTATTTCCAAGGGCCACAAAAACATCTTCTAGAAGAATCATGGCCCAATAGGTATCTCTTTCACTAGGAAGGTGACCCCTTCTGTACTTCCTTCTCCCCAAGACTGGACCATGGGTTTATGTTATGGTGCTGTTAACCATGAATTTTTATTTTAAATACATTTTTAAATGTATTTAGTACAGGGTCTACAGGGTCCTACTACACAGATTAGACTTTTAGTGATCTTCCTGTTTTCAGTCTCTCAAGCACTGGGATTATAGGCATGCGCCACCACACCCAGGTTCAGTCTCCTCAGTGTACCCCAGGTGTGGGGCTGGCATGGCACTCCAGGGATCAAACCCGTCTGTTAAACATGAATTCAATGTTAACAAATTAACCATATATATAAGGGCCTGGGGAGATAGCATCATAAGCACCAACCTGGCTGTAATGAGTCAACTCACATTTTAGATTATAAATGTAAATCTTGTGTTTTCTGTTGTGTAAAAATGTATACTCACCACTGTTCTAAGTTGTTTAGTAAATAGTGGACCTCAAAAGGAAACTAAATGGGATTTAACTTCTATGCAAGATTGCCTGCAGGTACTTACTCAGGTACAAGATAACCAGAAACTAAAAGCCCCAGGAAATTTAGTTTAGGTAGTGGTCACAATGACCCTGAAAGCATTGTTTTGTGTGAAAGAATTTGTTTACCAAACAAATGTGATTTTATGTTTTAAAAGCCCCCTGCTTCCTGGGCTAGCTGCCTTTCTGTCCTTTCCTGTGTGAGAGCAGACTGGGGGCCCTGATCTCAGTAATAAATGGCTTTCCAAATTCCAATCTGGCTGATCTGGTTCCTATTCTGAGTGACCCATAACACTGGCAAGTGCACAGTACTCAATTTGATCCCTGGTACACATACAAAAAAAATCCCATATATATTAATAAGCTGTGCTTCATAAAATGCAAAGGTTAACAATGGATCAGTTGACCTAACTGTAGTGTCTAGAGAACTTCCTCAGAAACTTAACCATGTATTTCTCTTAGAAACAACTCATCAGGAGCACTCTTTTTTTTTTTTTTTTGTATATATTTAGTACAGGGTCTACAGGGTCTCACTACATAAATTAGACTCATAGTGATTCTCCTGTTTTCAGCCTCCCAAGTGCTGGAATTACAGGCATGCCCCACCCCACCCAGTCTCAATCACTGGCTCAGGGTGCCCCGAGGGGCAGGACTGGAATGGTGCATCGAGGATCGAACCCAAGTCGCAGTGCTCTGCCTAAGCTGGTGCTTTAGTCTGCTGAGCTATCTGGCGGGCCCTAGCATTCACGAATCAAATCTACCTACAGTGTTCTTTGGTGTTAGAGACAAGTCATTGGTAGGAAAGAGTCAAGTTCACTCAAGGGTGACCCTGAAGATGACAGCCCCTCCATGCTTTCAGTTATGGTTTGTGTCTAGTTGTCCCCCCAAAGCCTCATGAAATCATAGCATGGATTCTGGAATTTATGATTGATTCTTGATTCAATGATGGGATTATGGGTGTGAGTGCCCTGGGGCAGATACTCTGCACACAACTGTAAGGAAGGGGGGAGAGGCTAGCTAACTGCTGGTGCTGCAGCCCTGCCCTTTGCTCTTGCTCTTTGCCACCACTATGTATGGTTGCTCTCTGCCATGTGCCACTCTGGCTTGGAGCCAGCTGAGTACGATTGAAACCTCCACTGAGTGTAAGCTAAATAAACTTTTCCTTCCTTAATTTTGGGTCTCCAGTATTTGTCCCAGGAAGGAGAGATGAGTAACTGAGACACTTTTTCCTTGAACGTGGGCTGGAGTGTTTTTATGGGAAAGGAAGGCAGTAGGACGGCAGTCTGGGCAAGGTCTTTCTCAGCAAGTGTCCTAGCTCCCGTGGCTAGTTACTATGGAAAGTGTTCCAAAGGACACTTGGGTCCTGTGACTCTAAAGAAAGGTTTGGCAGTTAAATTTAGAAGATTTTCTTCACCCAGAGGACCTGGGGTCAGGTGAGTCTTTTTCACCCACAGGACCTGGAAGGAGGGGAAATTCTGCAGGGAACAGGGTTCAAGGCAACTTAAGGGAGCCAGTCACTGACACTTTTTACACTGCTCTCATCATCTTTCTCAGGGCTGGAAGTAACTTCTAAGGAATGCTGGTCCACAACTACAGCTCTCGGCCACCCAGGTGCGTCCCCCTCTTGGAGGCCTGTGGGTGCTCTTTAACCGGGGGCCCCTAGAGATACACGCTGTGACGGCGCGGGCATGGGACTCTGACTCAGCTCAGTTTCCAGGTCTCGCGGAGGCCCAGCAGAGCCCGCGAAAAGTTACTTCACCGTGACTCAGCCACTCACAGCCAGACTCTTCTGGACTGTTCGAGAAAAGAGGCAAGCGGGTGGGAAATTGGGTGGGCTGTAGGTAGCGGGGCTGCGGGATTGGCTAACTGGTCCATGACGTCATCGGAACGCGCCGAACTTTTCAGACAACCGAGCTGCAGGATTCGTCGACCTGAGGGTGACGCTATTGGGGGCGCGCTCTTCCGGGCTTGGACCCGGCCGCTCTACATAAATGGCTGGGGCTGAGGGCGTCGTGATGGTGCGATTCTGGCGCTGCGTGGGTGTCGGGGAGGTAGTGTTGCCTTGTGCCGTGAGGCTGACCTCGGAGCGGGACATCTTTTCCGTCTTCGCGACCTTCTCCTGGCTCCTGCAGCTGCTGTGGTCCTCCAAGAGAGTCAGGTACTGGGTCAGGGTGGGTGGGGACTCCGCACGGGCCGGGGCGCCGGGGGTTACTGCTGTGGTCCTAGAAGCCGTTCACTCGCTGTCGACCCGGAGCCTGTGCGGACAAAGTGTCACTCAAAGTAGAGCGATTGACCCTCCCACCCCGTGTCAGGCACTCTCAGACCGATGTTGTAAAAAAATAAGGTCATTTTGAGATTGACGTCAGTTGCTGGTCAACAACAAAACCCTTTGAAACACCTGCTCCGCCTTGTATACGGTGTCACCCCCCTCGGGTGAACGATGGACACACCCGGCACGAGCTGGTCCTGGGGGCAGAGTGCCACTGGCAGAGGAAAGTAAAGGGCGCGTGACTTAGATGGAGGTGTTCTTTGAGGAAGGAGCACTTCAAACTTGGGTATTGGCGGGGTGCGTAGATATTAACTAGGGTGAGAGTGACAGGCGTAGGAGGGCTTGAGAGGAGTGACGCTCCAGGAAGAGGAGGGCGCTGATAAGCAAATCTGGAAAACACCTCCGTTACTTGAACTGTGGAAGGGACCGGACTTCGGAAAGGTTTGGTGAGTGCCAGGACATGATGGGGACCTTAGAAGCCTTGCTGTAGATTTGAGTCCGCTCTCCGGTGCAGCAGTTTCACTAGGGTTCATGTGTTTTCCGTTATGAATTAGTTAATGGCTGGCACCTTGCCCCAGTCAACCCTGGGCTGATTAAGGACGAAGCTCCAAGTAAAAATCAATGCATAAGGGAGGGGTAGGGGGGAGGCAAGGGACACAGCTAAACCTCCTCTGAATAGTGTAGTCAACTAATGCGATTTAGCACCTGACAACGGAGTATTGTTTGTGTCAACAAGTATATTCAGTAAATGAAATTAGAAATTAAAATCTATATAGGTAATAATTTTTCCTGGCAGCTGTATGACTTGAATCCACGGAAAGGCCCTGTTAGTATGAGTTGAAATTGGTTTAATGAAAATCCAGACGTCAGAGTGAATTTCATAAACTAGGGATTAAAAGAACAATAAAAAAAAAAAACAAAAAAAAAAAACAGCCCATCTATCCTACTGGGGTTTGTTCTGAAGCTGGTGTCTGTGCTGAAACTCCAATTTTTCTGTTTACTGAAAGTCAAGAACTTGGGATACCACAGTCTTGTGCAAGGGCCAGGATGACTTAGGCTTTTAATACTCCCAGTAGAGGGTGTCTGATTGCTCTCATTAAGCTATGTAGTTTATTAGTCCTAGGTACTAACTTGGGGTAATGATTGCAGAGTCTCAATTCTTCTAATTCTCATAGGTGATATTTAACTGCCACCTGTGTTGTGAACACTGTTTTCATAATGGAGTTTCTTGATTTGGGGAAGCATTGTTCAGAAAAAACTTGCAAGCAACTAGGTAAGTATGTTTAAGAGAATATATATTACTAGGAAATAGTACTTTATTGGTTATTTGGTGGGGGAGAGGTGGCCATTCCATTAATTAACTGATCATTTTGTCTTGGCCTTTCTGTGTTTTCAGGACTGGGCTCTGGCATGGAGTTTATGTTCTGTTCATAGTTTTTTTTTTTCTTCTTTCTTTCTTTATTTTGAGATCGGGTCTCATTTTGTAATTCAGGCTGGCCTTGAGTTCATTGTGTAGCCCAGGCTGGTCTTGAACTCAGTGATTTTCCGATCTCAGCCTCCCAAGTGCTGGGATTACAGGCCACCAAGTTTGTTGTATTTGTTACCCACCTAGGCCTAGGCAGCAGGCTGGCCTCCTGGGCTAAATGGATACAAGTGTATTGCTTAAGGGATTTTAAAAGGTAGCTTTATAGATTGAGCATTGTTAAATTAATAAACCCAAAGTTGCTTTTAACCTGTGGGGAAGCACTTAGTAGAAAGACTTAAGAGACATTTTACTTTTTCTTTTTTTTAGATTTTCTTCCACTGAAATGTGATGCATGTGAACAAGATTTCTGTAAAGATCACTTTACCTATGCTGGTCATAAGTGTCCCTTTGCATTCAAAAAGGTAATTCATCACCTTCTGTGTAGAAGGTTCTAATCTTCACTGTAAAGCTGCACCAGTGGATACTAGCCATAGCTGACTACTTAATGAGAATTTTAAAATTTAAAGTCCAGGGGCTGGTGAGATGACTCAGTGGTCTAAAGCACCTACTTAGAACAAGCTAAGCTAAACAAAGCACAGGGGCCACAGTTCAATCCCCCAGCACCACATGCCAGCCAGCCCCGCCCCCTGGTGGGCTGAGCTGGCCACACACACACAAAATAAATAAATATTTAAAAAAAGAATATGTATAAAAAAATAAATAAAATAAAATTTAATAAAAAAATTTAAAGTCCAGTTTCTTAGGTAAGCTAGCCATATGTCAAGTGTGGGATCACTGGTCACTGTATTGAACAGGATAATTAAAGAGCATTTCCAGGCTGGGGAAATAGCTCAACAGTCTAAGTGCCTGCCTGGCAAGCGCAAGGACCTGGGTTTGATCTCTGGTACCACATGCTGTGCCAGCCCTTGCATGCTGTGCCAGCCACTAAAACTGGCCCTGGTGGTGCATGCCTGTAATCCCAGCACGGCGGAGGCTGAGACAGGAGGATCACTATGAGTTTGAGCTACGTAGTGAGACCCTGTACCAAATAAATAAAAAATAAAAGATTAAAATTAAAAAAAAAAATCCTTCATCTCAGGATATTCTGTTAGACAGTGCTGCTCTAAGAATTTTGAGATTTCAGTACTTGTCGAATTAAATTGTAACTGATCGTGAGATCATGGTTGGTTAAAAGACAAATTTATTTAGGTACAGAATGGATTTGTACATTGGGAGACATAGGTTTAGTTAGAAACCAGACAAGTGTTCTGGAAAGGGTAGGAAGACTGAGTTTTTAAAGAGCAAAAGGGGGTTGTAGGGGGTAAGGTGAAATAACTTGTTCTAAATTTTTCATGTGGCCCTGTTAGCTACACAAGTTTTTGGAATGAATTTAGATTGGTGCTGGGGTCCATACATTTAATTGTCCCTGGCGGTTTGCTAGGGGTCATCAGGAAGCAGTAAGTCTTCTGGAACTGTCAACAAGTCAGCAGGAATCCCTCTCCCCCAGGTTGGAGATCAGCAGTCAGTGGTCTTTATAAGCATGTTTTTTCCAGATGGTGTTTTTTATCTGGAAATTAGAGACTGGGCTTGTGTCTGGGTGGCAGACTGCAGAAGCTATTGGATGTGAGGCTCACAGAGAAACTTTTTTTCTTCTTGGCTTTCAAAATGCTGTTTTCACTTTTATTCCCATACAACATAAACTTAAGCACTTTCTTTACCTATTACATTCTTGGTTCATTTGATCCATCTGCACCAAGGGAAACACAGCTGTTTCTTTATGGGGTGTAAGGAATGTTTCAGGACTAGTCAGGAAGGTGTTAAAGGTGCTGCGCAGCCCCAGTCATCTGTGGGTGATTTGGGTTGTACATGGTAGCAACTGGATGGCGCCAGTAAGAAAACTGCTTCTCAAGTTTCACTTCCTCTGTTGGCTTTTCGAGTGGCCCCTTGGCCCTTGCTCACTTTGTTTCTGTATGGTGCATAGATAATTTCAGTGAACTTCGGCATTCGACACTTCACCTGGTGGCAGATGGAGAGGTGGTGACTTAGTGTCACATACTCTGAGCAGTTGGTCATGGTCTGGCCTTTTACCCTCATTTAAATCAGCAAGGAGAGTAGGGAGAATGAGTCACGCTGCCTGTGTTTACCAGGCCCCCATGGCTAAGCCAGCTTTGCTATTTGTTGGCTGCACCTTCCCACATGCCTGTATTTGGGGAGCCTGGCTGGAGAACACCTAGAGATGCTTTATTTCTCAAGGGGTAGACTTGTCAAATGAAAGAACACCACCTGTGACTCCTCCAGCTCCACCCACAGATAGCACAACCCTCACTTCCGCGATAACTGCATTGGCCAGTTGTCATCTGCCACCTCACTTTCCTTGTGGTCTCTCTCAGCCCCAGTCCTGGCTTAGGATTTTAACCCTGTTTGCTAGCAGCCACACCTCTCCCTCTAGAGGCCCCTAGTCTTGGGTTTGCCACCAGAATGGTTTTTATGCACCCAGGTGCATTCACTTCAATGTATGCTCCCCTCCACTGATAAGGGCATCTTCCTGTTTATAAAAGCCATGTGGGAAGCCACCAAAGAATCAGGGAGCAGGCAGCAACTTGAAGTGAGCTGGAGGATCCTTAGGTTAGTGTTTTCTTCTCTCCTTCCGCTCTGAAGGTATTGGGCAAGTGGTCTTCTCACCTACATGTGCTGGACACCACCCCTGCTGTCCTGAGAGGCTGATTAATCTCACCAGCTTCCTTTTCTGGTACTCTGTCCCAATCAGGGTCCTTTGAAGAGCTGTCCTATGTATTTAGATAGCATTCGGTTCCTCAGGAGGACACTTTTCCCTTATTCCACTGTCCTAACTGCCTCATTCTCCTAGTAGTTGGGACATCAGTTTGTGTGTTTTGTTCCTCTTTACATGCTTTGTACTGTCACCTTTTCCATGTGTATGGCTTTGGAAAGATTGTGTCTAAATCTTAAATATTGTATTATATTGGTTATTTTTAGGATGTCCAGGTCCCTGTGTGTCCACTTTGTAATGTCCCCATTCCCATAAAAAGGGGAGCAATAGCAGATGTGGTGGTTGGTGAGCACATGGATAGTCATTGCACAAATAATCCTGGGACAAAGAATAAGGTAAGGATGTGTTCCAGGTCACTTGTGTGACTTGTGAATGTTGGTTATTTTCCTTCCAGGGAAAAAGGTCAATTTTCTTATTGTGAAAATTATCCCTGGTAGTTTATATACAAAGTAAAGCCGTTAATAATAAGTCAGTATTTTCTTTTCTTTTTTTTTTTTTTTTTTTTGGTGGAACCAGGGATTGAACTCAGGCCCTTGCCAGGGAAGCGCTTATTCCACTGAGCCATCTCCCCGGCCCCTTCTTTTCTTTTTTTCTGTGTGTGTGTAAGTGTGTCGGGCTCAGCACACCCTGGGGACAGGGCTTAAACCGTGGTCCCTGTGCTTGCCTAAGCAGGCACTTTAGACCACTGAGCTATCTCGCTGGCCTGTAAGTCAGTATTTTCTTTTTTGTGGAACTGGGGATTGAACTTAGGCCCTTCTGGTTGCCAGGGAAGCGCTTATTCTACTGAGCCATCTCCCTGGCCCAAATGTAAAGTAGGTCTTATTTTTACTGTTCTCTTTTTTGGTAACGGGAATCGAACTCTGGGCTTTGCATTTGCTAGGCAGGCTCTGCACCATTAAGCTACATGCCTGGCCCAGTATTTTCTTATGTGGTGAGTAACATGAATTTCTAGTTGTGGAAGCGGAGCCCCTACGCTTGAGAATCCTAGGTCAGGGCCTTCTTTATTGTAATGCGCCATTGTTTCTCCTACAATAGAGACTTTCCACAACCTTTCTATTAATGTACATTTACTTTCTAACCTCCTGCGAGCAGGTAAAATGATATAAAATTCAGACATTCCATCTTCTTGTGTTGGTAGCAGCTATATTTTTATTGAAGTTGTTTATCTGTTATTTGGAGTGAAGTGTGTTAGGTCACTATTCCTCTTATCCTGTCTTGCTTTCTCTTTTTCCTGTTTCCTGTTTGCCACAGTGTGCACTGAAGATGTAGCTATTACCTGCTGTCTTGCCACTCTCACCCGTAAACCCTTCTAGCCCCCTCCTGCAGTTTATTTGGAGTGTGCTGGGATGGATGTCCAAGCCTCTGACCATGTGGAGAACAGCCCCGAGAGTCCCTCTGCTGCTGTTCCAATGGGTCCAGGTTTCTTTTCTTTCTTTCTTTCTTTCTTTTTTTTTTTTTTGCGGAACCGGGGATTGAACTCAGGCCGTTGCACTTGTTAGGAAAGCACTTACTCTACTGAGCCATCTCCCAGGCCCAAGGGTCCAAGTTTTATACATTCTCTTACTTGTGTTTTTCTTAGCTTACTCCCTTATTTTCGTGGGAACACACCCATGTTGCTTCTTGAGGGAGGCTGGGAGATAAATGGAGACCATGTGTTTTTCAAGGTCTTTGTTCTTTGCTTCCCCCAGACCAGACCTAGCACCCTGGTGTGAAGGTCCCAGCTGTGCTGTCCCCAGTGTTGGAGGCAAGCGCTTATTCTACTGAGCTATCTCCCCGGCCCTGTAGTTTGTAGTTTTCAACTATTTTAACCAGTAAGTTTCATTAAAATACCATAGCAATCACATTAATAGCATACTCTGAATGTAGAGCCTATTAACTCTTTCTCTTCCCAACTTCACACTCAAGGGAGGAAATCCCTACTCTTCTTCTCTGGGTGGGGAAGTATATCTAGCCCCCTTCCTCACCCTGCACACTCCCACTGTGCAGTACCCCTGGCCAGCCACCAACCATGTTGGAAAGTGTGACCCTCACTCTTGGCTTGACCCAGAAGCACCACCTCCATCTTCCCTTACTTCCACCCTGGCCTTTGTGCCACCAGGCTGTCCTCAGATTGCTGGACACCCCCCTTTGCACCTAACACACTTGCCTCTCACAAGAAGTTGGAAGTGCCTGAAATTTATATCAGTTGCCCTTCCTTCTAGAAACATCCATGACTAGTGTTTGTGGGGACAGATGTTCTAGCTCTCTTGCCTCTGGTGGTGTGCAACTCCCACTGACTACAGAGCTCCCTGGAGTCATTTGTCTTCTGTAGTATAGGCTTGTCACAGCACTGCCCGGCTCCTTCCTCTCTGAGGTTCTTCTCTTCAGGGACACCTCCAGTCTACCTTCTTGTGAGTCCCCATTCTTGCTGTCTTAATCGGCATCTGTGCTTCTGGCAGTAAGCTGTCTGAATAGAACCCTGAAACCTTCATTCCTAACACCTGTGTCTAGCTTGAATGTGAGTGGTGGGGCTGGTAAAGAATGCCTACTGATGTGACTGCTGTCTCAGATCTTCACATACCAGTGCTCCAAAGAGGGATGCAGGAAGAAGGAGATGCTGCGGCTGGCGTGTGTACAGTGTCATGGTAACTTCTGCATTCGGCACAGACACCCTCTGGACCATGACTGCAGGGCTGGGAGCTGCGCTGTCAACAGAGCTGGGTGAGGATGGCTTCTGGTTGTGGCTGAGCTGACAGGCAGTGCGGTGCACCAGGAGAACCAGCTTGGACTCAGGGTTGGGGTGGGGGGCAACTTCAACATCATCTGTACAAAGTTGTTGATCTAAGTGTTTGCTGTAGATTGGGGTATAATAAAATTGGATTCTAAGTTCAAGTTGGAGTCTGCTTGTGTTAGTTTCTTGTAGCTGCTGTGACAAATTACCGTAGAAAGTTCCTTTACAAGAGGGACTTGCTCTTTCATCCTTCTGGAGGCTGAAGTCAGAGTGGCTGTCTCAGAGGCCTGAAGGAAGGGCCTTGCTCTGCCTCCCCAGCTTTTTGTGGTTTGCTGGCTGCCTTAGTGAGCCTCTGACACAGCCCCTGATCTTTGTCATCACCTTCTCACAGCCTTCCCTCTGTGTACCCTCTTCCTGAAAGCATGGGAAGTCACTTGGGAGTTGCCTTGTGCCTTATCTTCTCTTCCTGTTGTGAACCCTTTGAAACTTGGTCACTTCTGAAGACCTGAGTCCAAATCAGATTCATTCTGAGGCCCAAGCATCAGGATCCCAGCATGTCCTTTGGTAACTGTAGCATTTTTATCAAGCCACAGAGACATTTGCCTAAATTTGCTGTTGAACAAAAATGGAAGGATAAGTTAGCTTTTAGTTGCTTCTCACGTTGTCCACACCTGAACTACAGATCTGATGGGCTTTCTTGGTGCATGTGGTAAGACTGAACACTGACCTTTCTGTGCAGGTGTCAGACTACAAGAGCCTCTGAGTCTAAGCCATCAGGAGCTCTAAATGCCCTGTCTTCCAGTTGGCTGGCCCAGCGACTCGGGTGAGTCTGAGGTGCAGGCATGGATGGGTGTAGCTGTGGTTATGTGGGCGCGGCACCCAGTAGTCCTTGTGCCCTTAGTAGCTGTGTGACAGAAGGATGATGTGGGACTCCCAGATTCTGAATGCAGTCCAATCCAGCTCTAGGTCCTGTCAGCTGCTTCTGAAATGTGGCTTGTGGCCTCCAAGATTCTTTTGTATGATGAGCCACTTCTAGGTGATCAAGATGCATTTATAAACAATCGGTACTTTCTGTCTCTTCCAGATGGAAAGTGAAGTGATGAGGGAATGCTGTCCACCAGGCCTGTCAGCTTGTCTGCCCTGTTCCTGCCTTGCAGGTGACAGATGCTCTCGTGCTTTCTTCTCCTGGAGGACCATAAAATTTTTCAGTGATACAAGCAAATTTGAGGAGGGTATTGACACTCCAAGATGGGTTATGTTACCATAATGATAAAGTGACTTCAAGAGCAAGAGGATCCAAGTGAGCCAGATCAGCAACAGCACTGCCCTGTACTTGGTCCAGCACCCAGTCTCCTGTAGGATTCTGTCCCTTAAACACCAGACAACTGGCCCTAGCTCTGGGACCTCCCCCATGTAGCATCTGTATTGAGTGAGCCCTTTGAGCCCAAGGAAAGGAGGAATGTCTCTTGCCTTATTTTACTCTCTGTCTAGGGGGTTCAGTTTTGCCTTCAAAACTACTCCCAGGTTGTGCTGCAGGTCTGGGGCCACACTTGGGCAGACCACTGTTCTATACCTCTGTGCAGCACAGCAGCCATTAGTCAGTGTGTCCTTGAAATATATCCAGGGCAACTAAATCTTTAATTTTGCTTGTTTAAAAACTACTTAGTTCAGTTGTTAGAATACCTCTAAGTATGTTTGGAACCTGAGCCCCGGAATCTGGTTGGTTTTTGTTTTGTTCTTGCTTTTTTGTACTAGGAATCAAACTCATAACCTTGTACTTGCCAGGCAGGTGCTGCAGCACTGAACTAAATCCTCAGCTGTGAATCTTTATGTAACGGTTAATTTTTGGTTTTGGTGCTGGAGATAGAATCCAACCGTGCATACACTAAGTATGTGCTCTACCACTGAGCTGCGTCTCCAGCCCTATGACTAAATTCTGTTGAATCTAAATATAGATCAGGCATTTCTGACAGAAATGTAACATCCAAATTGAGATGCGGGGCTGGGGAGGTAGCTCAGCAGTGTTACTGGTTTAAGTGCCTGCCTGGCAAGCACAAGGTCCTGAGTTTGATCCCCAGTACTGTAAAAAAAAAAGCAGATTGAGATGTAACCAGATTAAAAATTAAAAACACACCAGAATTTACAGACACTACTAAAAAAGTAGGATTGTTAAAATATATATTAAAATGATGCTATTTTAGATACAATGCAATAATAAAATACAAAAATTAATCTCACCTGCTTTTTATTTAACTCTGGCTTCTTGAGATTTTAAAAAGAGGGAGTTGGCTTGTGTTACATTTCTGTTGAACACTACTACTCTAGAGATTCTAATGTAAAGAACAAAGCATCACAGGTGGAACATCCCTAAGCCGAAATGCTCTGATAGCAAACTGTTTTTTGGCTTTTGGAGATAGGTTTTTACTATGTGTGCAGGCTGACCTCAAACTCAAAAATCCTCCTGTTTCAGCCTCCTGAGTGCCAGAATGATGGGCATGTATGATGACTTTTCAGCACTGCAAATTGATTTCACAGCTGACCCCATGTTCATTTTTCCATCCTCAGTTTTTTTGGTACCAGGAATCGAACTCAGGACCTTGTGCTTGCCACATAGGTGCTGTGCACCTGAGCTATATTCCCGGTCCACCATCCTCACATTTCACTGAACTCTTTTAGTGTTCTGCTTGAGCTTTCGGCTGAGTTCAAATCACTTGCTGTTTTTTCTTAGGCACTTGGTTAGTAAATGTTCAGATAACTCAGAAGAACCTAAGATAGGGATGTAATGGTGCTCTCGGTCCTGCTTCTTGGAAACAGGTCCTATCTTTTGAACTGAGAAATTTTTATGCATTTGTAAGAATGTGTTTTTAAAATGTCAAGGTCAAGCCTTGTCTCTTCACTGACTGCTTTTCCCTCTGGCTTCGTGGGTATCTTCCACTGGCCTGCAGAATCTTTATAGACTGTTGCTTGGTGCTCCACAGCACTCAAGTGTCTTGGTCTTTCTTCCGGGATGGTGACTCCTGCGTGGTCTCTCAGTTGCTATCACTGTGCCTGAAAGGAGCATATGTTGTGCCAAGCTGCAAATATCACACTTGCCTCTGTCAGTTTCCCCACACCCCTATTAGCAGGTATTACCTCTTTACAATCTATATTTTCAGGCATTTGATAGATGTCTTAAGTTTTAGCAACGCATGCCTACAGCAATGACTCCAGCATGAGAAAAGCATCTTTCCCTGCTTCAGTGCTTTCCTTTTTTTTTTTTTTTTTTTTTTTAGTGTATTTGGTTGTTATAGGGTCTCACTGTGCATCTTGGACTCAGTGATCCTTCTGTTTTCAGTCTCGCCAGTGCTGGGATTACAGGCATATGCCACTACTCCTGGACTGTGGCCTGCTCAGTCTGCCCTGGGGGTGGGGCTGGCGCTGCACGTGGTGCCAGGGATTGAACCGTGGTCCTTGTACTTGTCTAAGCTTGCCTCAGCCGGTACTTTAGCCCACTGAGCTCTCTCACTGGCCCTGATTTCCTCTTTTTTGAGCTGAGCTTCGGGTGGCACATCCAACTTGTCTTGTGTTCCATGTCCAGGCTTGTGTTTCTTACCCAAGGTCTAATGGATAGCATACTTGCACTTCAGGTATGGAGGGCTGCAGTATCAGACATTTTCACAAGATGTCACTAGAGGTCTTTGCTGGAATCATTAGGGTTGGAAGTGTCATGGGCAGCATGTGTCCAACCAGCCCATCAGTTCTGCTTTGGATGTGTAGGTTGACAGTGTATAAAGAAGTTTTCAATTAACCTTCCAATCTCTCTCTCTTGCTCTCTCGCTCGCTCTCTCTGTCAGAGCTTGTTTGCTTTTTACTTACTTTGTTTAAGTCACCGTTTCATAGCTCTCTGCTGATAGGACTTAAGAGATTTAATGTATTTGGTACAGGGTCTACAGGGTGTTTGGGGTCTCACTACACAGATTGGACTCATAGTAATCCTCCTGTTTTCAGCCTCCCAAGCCCTGGGATTACAGGCATACGCCACCACGCCCAGTCTCAATCACTGTCTCAGCACACCTTGGGGGTGAGGCCAGAACCGCAGGCTGGGGATCAAACTGCTGGCCCCTGTGTCTGTCTGGCCAGCCCTTTACTCACATCTCTTGCAGAGAGTTCTGCCCATGCCTGAGATGGTCAGCCGTGGCCAGGAGATGGGGCATGGGGCCCTGTATTCAGTTCCATGTTGTAGGGATCCACCAACATGTGATGGTCAGGACCTCTGCTCACATCCATGTTGTAGAAGGTTTTGGAGACATGATTGATAACGGTGAGGACATAGTGGATTCCACTTAAATTAACGTACAGGATGGTTAGCCATAGGAAGGGGTGTCTCTGCTCACATTTGTGGTGTAGAGGGTTCCTCACATGCCTGTGATGATCAGGAGATTGGAGGCTCTACTCACAATCCTGTTTTTTTTTTTTTGTTTTTAAATTTATTTGTGAGTGTGTGTGTGTGTGTGTGTGTGTGGCCAGCTCAGCCCACCAGGGGGCGGACTGGCTGGCATGTGGTGCTGGGGGATTGAACTGTGGTCGCCTGTGCTTTGCTAAGTTTGTTCTAAGTAGGTGCTTTAGACCACTGAGCCATCTCACCAGCCCACAATCCTGTTTTAAAGGAATCAACACATGCAGACCAGACACATGGGGTGGGACCCTCTGCTTACAATGACCTTGTTTGTTTTTTCTAGTGGGACCAGAGATTGAACTAAGACTCCTATGCTTGCCAGGGAAGCACTTATTCTACTGAGCCATCTCCCTGGCCCCTTTACAATGACCTTGTAAAGGGCTCCACACCTAAAATACTCAAGACATAGGGTTCTGCTCACATCTATCTTCTAGGGGAACCAACACACCCCTGAGATGGTTAGGAAGTAGGTCTAAGCTAGATTTATGGGTGGTCCCACAAACAGGCCTGATACTGATATGGTCAGGATACAGTGGGGGAGCCTGTGTCACATCCACATCATAGAGGGCTACACACATGGTGGCCAAGATGTGAGGATTGGGGGACTCTAGTTATACTAACTTTGTAGAGAGTTCCACATACCTGAAATGTTCAAGACATGGACCCTCTGCCAACATGACCTTATTGAAACACCATGTAAGTGGGTGGGTATGGTCAAGACTGGGAGAACTTTGAATATCCATATCACAAAGACACCAAATGAGAATGACATAGACAAGGGGAAGAGGATACTCCTCCTGTCTACCATGTACAGAAATCCATACAGGGTTGGATATAGCTGGGGTATAGAGGTGGGTCTGGTCACATCTACCTTATTAGGGTTATATGCATATTGGACAGGGATGAGTCATGGGGCTCTGGTCACATCCATGGTGAGCTCTCTACTCACCTCAGTTGGTTCTGCCAATAGATGTGGTAGAGGGCTTCACACACGCCTGATATGGTCAGGACATTGTAAGGGCTCTGGTTAAAATTCGTATCACATGCTCTGTACTTTCTAAGTTAACCAAGACATGGTGGCAAGAGGCTCTGTCATATATATGTGGTAGGGGCCTCCCTGAGATGGTCAAACACTGTAAGGACACACAGCTTCCTCTGCATTGAAGATACCATCCACATCGGAGTGTCAGAACATGAAAGGTCCTCTGCTCACATCCATGTTCTAAAGGACTCCATACTGACCTGAGGACATAGGAATTCACTCTACTGGTAACTACAGTGTAGAGAGCTCTCCACACGTCTGAGGCAGGACATGAGGGCCTCTGCTCACATTCATGGTGTAGGTGGCTCCAAACACACCTGAGCTGGTTGGGGTTCAGGAACAATCTGAACACATCTGTGCTGAAGGGCTGAAACATGCATGACATGGTCAGGACATTGGATGGCTCTGCTGTCCTCACTGTGCAACCCTCCACTCATGCCTGAGCTGATCAGGATAAGGGTATTGTGCTCAGCTCCACATTACAGAAGGCACCACCTACCAGATGGGGTCAGGACATGAGTGGTTCTGCTCACACCATTATTTTAGAGATCTTCACATAGCTGCAGCTGTCATGACATGAAAGGCTGAGCACACCTGAGGAGGTGAGAAAGGGGCTTTTCTCGCATGTTGTAGAGGAATCTGCACACAGTTGAGGTGGGCAGGACATGGAGGCACTGCTCACATCTTCCTCCAGGACCCCACATGCCTGAGTTTGTGCCTGAGAACACAGGAGGACACTGCCCACATCTACTTTTCTCCACCTGCCTGAGATGGTGAGCATGGGGGAAGGGTTCGGGGTACTCTGATCCCACCTGTAGAAGATCCCACATAGGCCTTTGGTGTTCAGGACATATGCTGCTGTTTTCACATCTATATTATTGAGGGCTCTACATGTGAGTAGGATGATCACATACATAGGCATGGTCCTGGTCACATCTGTGCTGTAAAGCGTTTCCACACTTCTGAGATGATCAGAGTCAGGTGGGGCTACTGTTCCATCCTCAAGGTTGAGAGCTCTGTA